AGGTCAGACTCCGTACTTCCGCTTGCCTTTGAAATGCTATCAGCTCCGCAGCTGTAGTGGTGTACAGTTACCAAAACGATGATGTTTCAAATAAAATATGTAATTTTTCCAGAGATAGTTTTTATATGTCGGTATTAAATGTAAGATCCTTTTAATTAATTTTATTTTTTTCTTTAACTTACAGTCTTTCTAAGATTATCCTGTACTTATTGAACTTGATACTACACATAACTCAGGACTTTTAACCTCTACAACTGAGGTTCCAGGAAGATACCCCAAATACTTGTCCCGTGCCTGTACCTGGATTTACGCAGATGGCCTGTGATAGCTATGGAGCTCTTTAGGCACAACTGGAGCCTGTTTTCCTGACTATGCACATGGCTCTTCATGACCCTTCAGACACATGTCAGTCAAAAGGACCTTACTACAAGTTAATAAGTACAAAAAGTGCAACAGCACATCAGTGCTTCTCATATTTTCAAAATAATGTAAAGAAAAGAAATACTCCAATGTTATCTCAATAGAATACTTCTCCCCTGCTAGGCCCTGGAAAGATTTCAATTTAAACTATGTTTTCTTAGAATACATATTCTGTCATAAAGAAAGCCTTGAGCCAAATTCTCCGGTGTGCTCTGCATGCATCACTACTGTCATGTTGGGATGTTCTCCACCCAAGTCCCACACTGCCACATATTGACACATAGCATTGGTGGGGCAAGGGAAACAGGAGAGGCCAGGACACAGAAGTCACCCTCCTGTGTACGGCATGGATGCTTATGGCATATTCCAAAATGGCCCCATGGCCTTGAGTGGGGAAAAGAGCACAGCACTTGGGCATCCCTGGCATCTTCCGTGCCATGGGGAGCAGTACCAAGCAACCAAAGCAAACTGCAAATCTGATTTTTCATACAGCCTGTGCTCACATTTGTGGTTCATACAAAGCGAGAGAGATCTCTGCAGTCATCCCCTTGGGTGTTGGTACCTGGTGCCTGTGTCACTGCCACTCTTCACTGCTCCGTCATCCGTGAAATTAAAGGTGCCGGTCCAATTTGCCAATTCCTCTCCATTCTGCCAGCTAAACTGCAGCCCTCTAGCAAGAAAATGAGGCAGTTGATATTTGATATCATTCATTAGGTTAAGTCTATCAGCACGAGTTCTTATGTCTTTTTTTTTAACACAGAAATATGACTATGACACATTAATCAAAACCCATAAAAAGATACCAAGAACTACAAGACATCATCTTACTAGTGGAAACAATTAATTTTAACTTCCCATGGACTCTACAAGTCCTTGGCTGCAAACAAACCAGACTCCCCAACCAAACTGGAAGGCCAGTAACCATCTGTGTGCATAAACAACATATATATATATGTGGAGTGGAGCAAGGTGGAAATTTCATTCCCAGAGAATGCACAAGTGCAAAAAAGCTGGAGACGTGGAAAACTGCAAGGCCAAAGAAGTAAACCCTCCAAAATTCAATTTTACATCTACAGTAGTAGTTAAATGTGGTGGGCACTGGGTCCTTCCTCTGCTTTGCTGGCCATGCTAGCAAAGGATTTGTCATTTGGTGGCTTAGAGAAGTCACACTATACTCCTCCTTTTCCCTGTTTGGGAAGATTACGTTTTTTAAGCCTATGCATATCACAGCCATCACAGCTCCCTGTTTTCCAAACTTCTCAAATTCATTCCAAGACCCTTCAGTCTTCTGGAAACTACACCTATAGTTGGGTAGGAATCTCACATGTATTTAAAAAAGCTGGGTCTGAAAAAACATTTGACAACACAAGTCAAATCCTTCCCTTAGCTCAGAAGTCAACGAAAAAGAATCTTACAGATTGTTATTTTTAATCTTCTCCATTTTAACCCAATTTCATGATTTCACAAGCCTGGCAGCTGAGTTTTGAACATTTGGTGCTGCCAATACTGAAAGTTAACTTCCCGGCTGGACTGTGCGGGGACAGCCAGGAAACAATCTGCCAGCCCGCTTTGCCCAAAAGAAAGAGCATCCATGAGCCCTCTAGTTTTCTTGGTCCATAGGCTTATTACAAGGACTGGAGAATCTCTCAGACCACATCCATTCTCTAGTCTAATTTGCAGCAGTTATAAGAGTAGGCAATTAAGAAGGAACACCATGGGGCATTAAAATAAGGCCTCCCTGCTTCCTGCAGCAGAAAAGGGGAGTAGCTCTAAACAGCTCTAAAAACATATAGTAGGAGCTTATTTGTTCTGTATTGTGGAAATATGTGCACGTAACTTCTTGTTGTCATAGTTGTTTTAAGACAACCTTGTCTAACTTCAAGTATCTGCAGTGCAGGTATTTCCACATGAGCTAATTGTCTTGGTTCTTAAAAATCAGTAGAGATTGGCTCAGTACAGTTAGTTTTGGGAAAGATTTACCCGATCAGAGGCTGGCCTTCACCCTAGAGTGAACTGATCCATCCCCCAAACTCTCCCTCCATCAGCAGTACAGGGAGCCTGGGGTTGCTGGTAGTATGGGCACGCATGACAGAAGGATCCCACCACCCAAGTGAAGTGCAGTGCATGTCACCACAAATGTTTTTTTCAGACCTAAACTCAAGATACTTTGAAAGAATTTAAGATTATTATTGCATGTTTTGTGCCTCAATCTTTTTGTTTGATTTTTTTTTTATTGAAAACAGATGTTTTGGTAAATGCATTTTGAGGGAGGAGTTCTAAAGAAGGTAGGCAGCCATTTCAATGCTCTGAACTGAGGAAAGAGCTAGCCTCCTAAACTTGCCCCCTCCCCTCCCAAGCTCCCTCCCACCACAAAAGGTGGGAGAAAAGCACCATGAATATATTGAAAAAGCTTCCTCTGAATCTTTCAAGTGTATTTTCATTTATTCTGTGTTGTCCAGTGGTCAAATTTTGCTTTTTGAAAGAAAAACTTTCTAAGTATGAAAATGGGAACATTTCAAATAGAGAAGTCAAATTTTTGCTCATAGAAGAACCATTCTGATTACTTGTTAGTTAAACGTATCAATGCAATTCTCCTGTTTTCCAAAAAATCAGAACAAGTGGAAGATTGCCATAAGCAAAATGCGATGATATCGCACACTTAGATCTTACGTTCAGCTTGCAGCGAGCTACTTTGGTGACCAATTTGGAGAATCACATCAAAGGGAGTATAGGTTATGGTATAATGGCTATAGGGTAACGCAGTGCTGTGGCTTGTCAGGGAGTCCCATACGTTGTATGTTCCTCTGACAGTTTTTCATCAGCTGATGCTGCCCAAGGTACAACTTCCGAGTAGAATATTGGTGTGAAGAAAATATGAGAAAATTCTCACTTTTACTAAGACACCTTCACTTTTAGGCCTGTTGAAATAAACACTTGTGATTCTCTCCCATGTACCACAGTCTAACACATTTTTTCTTGCCACACGGTAGCTGGTATGGAAACATGTTTCTTTTGAATGTGTATGTCTTTGTAAAAGGCATCTAAATATATGACCTTAAAAATACATTTTAATTGCTAAGGGCAGCACTGAATGATACATGGGGAGAGAGTAGCAGTGTGGAAAAACCAAGCTGGAATAGTAGTTTTTAATTTTATTTAAATTAGGTATTTTGGGGCTTAGATATTTAGTTGCAAACTGAAACAGAGAGCATTAATCCAGATAAATAGCTGATGTCGGTGTGTCCTTCAGAGGTGAACTCTCCTAAAGCACAGCCAGTATTCAGGCAGATCAAATTAAGAATTAAAACATTCAGTAAAGTCCTTTCCCTTTGTACATCTTTGCTCCACATGTAACAGCTGGAAGGAAAGCTAAGTAAATGCTCAAAGGTAGAGGGGATGAATCTATCTGTAAATCAAAAGAAATTATAAAACCATTCTTTAATGCCCTCCTCTCATGAAGCCTTTTTTGGGAACAGTGCGTCCTGCAGCTAAGGCACCAAGTTTAAAGGAGGACATGCACTTTTTGGGTAAGATCCAAGAGGAGATCAGGAAGACTAACACTGAGGAATGGTAGATATGTCCTATGATGAACAGCTTAAAATACTTAGCTTTGAAATGGCAGAATGGGGGATCTAACTGAGGTACAAAAATATCTAACAGGGGCAAGCAAGGGTCTGGGTATGACACTTCTACATAGTAAGGACGAAGTATGAAGTTGGGAGCTGAGCTTAGGGTCAGGAGCAAGCTAAACGTCTGATCCTGAACCAGACAGGAAAAGGGGACTATATAGAGCTTTTCTTCCCACAAACAGGTACTCAAGAGTTTAACACCACATAGGCTTACATGCACACAAAACCCACCACCGAAGAAGCATTACACAGCTCATGGGCCTGTGTGTCTCACTGTGATTCTGCAAGACTGAGACCAAGCTGCTGCTCTGCATTTTCTGGAGTGATGGTACAATAAACCTCTTCTTCCTAGTAAGAACAACTCCCATAAATAATGGTTGGTTGTATTAGGACTGAGTAGTAATCAAGGATGAGACATTTAAAAACACTGACCTGAATTAATTCTGTTCCTAACAAGATTACTGAGAGTTTTACCATTTATTTCAATCATCAGCCTTGAGTTGGGAGATTTCAAATTTAAAAATATAAAATTTTCTAATCCTCTCAGTCGTGAGTCGTAAGTGTTCATAAATGATGTCTGGCCAAATATGCAAACAGCCTGAGAAATAAAACAGAGATACGAACTGCTCCATCAGTACATTTCTCTGGCATACTATGGTAGTTAAATTCTAACACATTCGCTCTCGGCACTAACTGCATTTTAACAGGTAAACAAAGAAGAGGTAAATTAAGCTTCTGTGAATCAGAACTGCAACAGAAAATCACATGCAGGATGGAAACACAGAAAAGGCAGAGAAAAAGAAGAAAATCAAAAAAGAGGGTAAGGAAAGATTAAAAGAAGTGAAGGAAAGCAGAGGAAATGTTGTAGACATAGAGGTCTCCTATATAATTTAGACAGTTCATGTTAAAGACTTTTAAAAAAAAAAGAAAAGCTAATTTTAAGCCTGGGATCATTACCAATGATTACCAATGGTGGAACTTCGCCATTTGCTCAATTTGCCCTAATGTTATTTCCTTCTAAAATTAGTACATTTCCCCAACGCGTGATGCTGATGATGACACGGGAAGACTTTATAAAAGATGTAATAACCAGAAACACTCTTCCTGCAGAGATGCTATGTTTTGCTCATTCACTGCAAGCAAATTTCTCGTCAATTATGGACATTGTTAATCACAGGACTTACCCCTAACAAATAGGAGTATGAGCAATGTTGTTCCTTGCCTTAGAGAAACTCCGTTAAGTTGGATGTCTTAGCAATAAAGGTCTTGAGTTTCAGGTAAATGTCAAAGCAATATTTTGATCCTAATTGGTAACTGTAAAACTTGAATCAGTATGTGGCCAAATAAACACTGGCGTAATGTAAGAATAGCGGGAAGGCGTGAAAAAACCAGAAAATTAACAAAGCAGCAGTGATTCTGAAGGGCTTGTCAAGACTGGCTGTCAAAAAGCAGCAGGAAGCAAAGCAAAAAGCCCATTGCCACAATCCAAACAAGAAACAACTCCTGCACAAGCAGAGGTTTTAACAGCGGAGGACGTCAAACAATTATGAGGTTTTTGAACGGTAAGGTGAGAATGAACAAGTGGATAGATTGCATCAAGAAGCTTCGTATCCATGCAGCCGTTACACTAAGATCCAACCTCAGGGGTGTCTCACTGCCTTTCTAAAGCATGAAGGCAAGGTTAAAATTCAGCTCAGGGAAGGCAAGGCTTTTAAAAGGGAGCTATTCTTCAGCTAATAAGTGGAGGAGACCCAAAAGACTTCAAGCACAGCTGGAGGTCCTGTCTGGGCTCTAACCAGACAGCAGGCTATGACGATGCATGCAGCAGAATTTATTCAGGGGAGACCCACAAGCTTTCAAGGCATAACAGCAGTTTGGTGCAAGTGACTGAGTAACAGTGATCAGCACCCATGGGTAACAAGGACTGGGTGGCAACAGGGGCATCATGCAGGTGGCATGAGGAGAGGGCATGTAAGAGCACCTGCCACTCCAGTGCCAACCCATTCCCCAAAACCACCAGCTCATCTCATACTATCCCAGC